CCCATGATTTACCATCAATTACCACTACTATAATATATAAAAAAAAAAAATTTTTTTTTTTTCACATTAACTTTTTTTGAATTTCCCGAAAATAAATAAAATGACCGAATTTTAGACCGATTAAAAAAATTTTTTTTTTTTGTACTTCACACATTTCATATAAAAATACTTGGTTGAAAAAGAAAAAAATTCATCTTTACATTTTAATTGTTATCAGTACACGAGGATTTTCATATCCACCCGTTCTCCCTTCTTTACGACCTCCCCCCATTCTCCGTTTCCCTTTTTTTCTCATTTTTTTTTAAATTTTTCATCATCTCTAAAAAAAACAATTATAATAATTTAACAATACTTACAATAATGGGGTCTACAAAGTCTATTAGGTATGAAGTTCTCGTGTATCCAACACCATCCTCTTCCCCCGCTTTTAAAGAGCACCAACATCAACCATCAACCTCTCCCCTTTTGCCTAATGATGTTACTTCCTCCAATCATTCGGCTTCAGCATTATTTGAGACTAAAGTACAAAGGTTCGCGTGTGATAGGGAAAACATGCAACAATATTGGATACCGGAAGGTTTTCACCCGGTTTTAATTCCCCGTGCTTACCTTACAAATAATAGTCTTGTTAATAACAATAATAATAATTCTAGACAACAAACTGGTGATTTTATTCAGTTAAGGTCAAGAATTAATAATAATGATAATATTAATGACATTGAATTAAGAAGAAGAAGAAGAAATGCTAATGATATTTTCTCTTCATGTAATAATAATGGTGGAATTACAAAGAAAAAACGTCGTAGTGATGTTAATAGACGTATTTTAAGTCAATCTTCCCCAACTGTAAATATTAATCATCCCCTTATATATAGACAAAAAGTTAAAGAAAGAATTACCGCTATTCGTAATTCTGCTGTAAAAATATCTTCAAATTCTAGTTTAAAAAATAACAATAGTAACAATATCATCACTGACAAAAGTTCCCCTTCAATTATTATTGGTCAAATGTGGAAAGATGAACCTGAAAATATTAAAAAACATTATGAAAGATTAGCAATTAGAAAGAAGATCGCTCAAGTTTTGGCCTTTGAAAAAAAATTTTCTTCTCTTAATTCTGGTACACGTTCAACTACAATTAATTCACGTCGTCTCCACGTGAACCCTACTACTTGTTCTAATCATAATACTGGTACTTCCTGCCGGTATAACGTCCACAGTAATGCTATAAAAGGAGTGGATGCTGTTGATTGTGATAACGTCGTTCATCATAATGTTGATAGTTCTTCCTCGCCAAACAATTTTAATGATAGCAACAGACCTATGCCGGATTGGATGACACGTTCCGACGATGAAGATGACGAGAATAGTAGTGATATTGATCTAGTTGCTTATTAAAAAACCATAACGAAACGAAAACGAAAACGTACCGCACGTGTTCATTAGTAACAATATGATAAAAATAAAAAAATAAATACTTTAATAGTATTTTTTTTTCACGTTTCGATTCTTATTTCATAACGAAGCATTCATCGAAAAAAAAAACAACGAAAACTTTTTTTTTTTACGCCAAACATTTGTACATATCTTTATATTATTTTCAAAAAAACATTTTTTTATTCTACGTTAGATTTACGTTAGATATAATTATTTTTATTTTATGAATTATTAAAATTTTCGGAAATCGAAAAGAAAAAAAAACGATCCTTTTTTTTGTTAGAGTAACTTTTTTACCTTAAAAAAAATCTTTTCAAGAAAAAAAAAAAAAAATTATTAAGGAAATTTTTCCTTTGTACGAAAGAAGTTTATCTTTTTTTGTATTAAAAGGTATCCCTTTTAATTTTTTTCGTTTAATATAGTGCCGCAAAATTATAAAAAAAAAAAAAA